CGCGTGGGCGCGTGCTGTCCGTCTTCCGCGCCCACAGGGCGGTCCCGTGGGGCAGGGGTCTCGCTGCCCTTACTTCCCAAGTGTCCACAGCACAAAGCCGCTCAGGACCTGAGCTGGACGAACGATGTGAGGAATGAGTGAGCCGACAGGGGGCTCCCCCTTCCCATGCCCTGCTCACCCCCCATCTTGTTTCCCAGGGAATGACCCCCCTCCACTGGGCGGCCTTCCACAACCAGCCTCAGCACACCCAGGTCCTGCTGAGGCGGGGGGCCGACCCCACCCTGGTGGACAAGGACTTCAAGACGGCTCTGCACTGGGCGGTGCAGGTAGGGGCTGCTGACCTGCGTGTCGGCCCGGGAGTGGGTGGCCACAGGGAGACTCACACTCAGAGGCAGTTCCTACGTTTACACAGGGAGACTCACCTGGTCTCCTCCCCCACCTGTGCCCCCGGGAGAGCAAGCCTGCCACTGGGAAGATGTGGGGGGATCCGCTGGTGAGAGGACACCCTGCCAGGGTGCAGAGGGGCCGTTACAGACCATGGGGTGCAACCTGTTCTCTCAGAGCCGCTGATCTGGACCTGGTGGGCCGGGCGGGGGGCCCCTAGCAGACGCCTCCATGCCTGCTGCGCTGGGCTCTTTGGGGTGGGAGCCCCTGTTCTTTATTTTTCAATCCTCACTCAAGGGGATTCTTTCCATTGAATTTTAGAGAGAGTGGAAGGGAGGGGGAGGGGAGAGAGAGAGACATCCATTGTTTGCCTCGCGCTCACACCCCAACTGGGGCCAGGGATCAAACAGGCGGGGAGACCCACAGGCGGGGAGACCACAGGCGGAGAGACCACAGGCGGGGAGACCCACAGGCGGGGAGACCCACAGGCGGGGAGACCACAGGCGGGGAGACCACAGGCGGGAGACGCAGTCGGGGAGACCACAGGCGGGAGACACAGTCAGGGAGTGGTGGAGCAGCTGCATAGGGGCCTCTGCATCTCCCAGAGCGGGAACAGGCTGCTGTGCTCCATCATCCTGAGCCACCACCAGGGCCCGTCCATCATCAACTGTGACGACGAGAGCGGGAAGACCTGCGTGCACATGGCCGCGGCCGCGGGCTTCAGCGACATCATCACCGAACTGGCCCGCGTCCCCGAGTGCAATCTGCAGGCTCTGGACGTGGACGACAGGTACCGGGGGCGGGAGGGGCTGGAGCTGCCACCCTCTCCACACGTTCAAGGTTAGGGCGACCCTACTGACCCCTCCTGCCGCCACGGTCACACGTGTGCTGGGACCACCTGTCCTACCGGCCACGGTCACACGTGTGCTGGGACCGCCTGTCCTACGGCCACGGCCACACGTGTGCTGGGACCACCTGTCCTCACACGTGTGCTGGGACCGCCTGTCCTACTGGCCACGGTCATACGTGTGCTGGGACCACGTGTCCTACCAGCCACAGTCATACGTGTGCTGGACCATCTGTCCTACAGCCACGCTCACACGTGTGCTGGGACCGCCTGTCCTACTGGCCACGGTCATACGTGTGCTGGGACCACGTGTCCTACCAGCCACAGTCATATGTGTGCTGGACCATCTGTCCTACAGCCACGCTCACACGTGTGCTGGGACCGCCTGTCCTACTGGCCACGGTCATACATGTGCTGGCCCCTCTCCTCCCAGTCATGGTCACACATGTGCTGGGACCACCTGTCCTGCTGGCCACCCACGGTCACACGTGTGCAGGGACGACGTGAACTGCTCTCGCGGGGCAGGAAAGGGCGTGGTGAGGAGGGAGAGGCGGAGGGTGCGCTGTCACACTGTCCGCGTTCGCCG